AAGCAAAAAGACGGAGAGTCAGTCGACAATTTTGTCAAGCGTTTCCGTAACATGGCGATGAATTGCAGAGATCCTATTACAGAGGAGTTCATCCTGCAAACATGCCACAATAACCTCTCCATCGATGTCTTGGAAGCTTTGGGGGTTGAGCCGTCCACAACTTGGAAGGAGTTAAAATTTCGTGGCGAACAAGCTGAACACTTTCTTAAAAGAAAGGAAGCTGAGAAAGGCCAACAAATGACATCTGCAATCATTGGGAACGCAACTTTCGATCCGAAGTTTCAAAAAGAATATTCATTCGAAGAGGATGAAGCTCCAGCCATATTGGAATACCTCCTCGCTAATGACAAAATCGAGCTACCACCTATTAAAGATCAGGATGGAGCTAAGATGATTACGGATCCAAATTACTGTGCGTACCACAGAAGGATTCTTCATCCCACCGAAATTTGCTTTGGACTCAAAAACAAAATCCAAGCCTTAATTGACTCCGGCGTCATAACGGCCAAAGAAGTCGAGTAAAGACGACCATATTACTCCATCGGATACACGAGTATAAACTGTTTTCCCCAACTCCATTGGGTACACGAGTATAAACTGTTTCCCCTCACTCCGAAAAGTATACGAGTATAAACTGCTCCTCGATACTCCAAAAGGTATATGAGTCTAAACTATTTCCTTTCCTTAACGGGAAGTTCCTGGAGAATCCTATATTCTTAAGGATAACCCGAACATATGACTGAGGTTAACGTACTCCTCGTTATACCCAGTTTTACAAAGAAAGCTGGGGGTCGATAATTCATGTAATGGGAAGTTCCTGGAAGAATGTTAAATATAATATTCTTAGGGATAACCCGATTATTATGGACAGAATGATAAATACTAAGCTCCTATTATGATTTTCGAACACTCTTTTGCTGAGATGAGATTCGATCACTTCGTTAGATCAATCTTCCCTCACAAAACCCATTTGGTCAAACCTTTAAACAGTTAGGACCGAAGCCAAAATCCCCTCTCGATTCGTTCCATGAACGAGAGGTCCACAAATTGAACGATCAAACCTTTAAACAGTTAGGATCGTCTTAAATACCCATTTGGTCAAACCTTTAAACAGTTAGGACCAAAACCAAAATCCCCTCTCGATTCGTTCCATGAACGAGAGGTCCACAAATTGAACGATCAAACCTTTAAACAGTTAGGATCGTCTCAAATTCCCATTTGGTCAAACCTTTAAACAGTTAGGACCAAAGCCAAAATCCCCTCTCGATTCGTTCCATGAACGAGAGGTCCACAAATTGAACGATCAAACCTTTAAACAGTTAGGATCGTCTCAAATTCCCATTTGGTCAAACCTTTAAACAGTTAGGACCAAAGCCAAAATCCCCTCTCGATTCGTTCCATGAACGAGAGGTCCACAAATTGAACGATCAAACCTTTAAACAGTTAGGATCGTCTCAAATTCCCATTTGGTCAAACCTTTAAACAGTTAGGACCAAAGCCAAAATCCCCTCTCGATTCGTTCCATGAACGAGAGGTCCACAAATTGAACGATCAAACCTTTAAACAGTTAGGATCGTCTCAAATTCCCATTTTGGTCAAACCTTTAAACAGTTAGGACCAAAGCCAAAATCCCCTCTCGATTCGTTCCATGAACGAGAGGTCCACAAATTGAACGATCAAACCTTTAAACAGTTAGGATCATCTTCAGACTCCACTGGTCAAAACTTACACAAGTCTACGGACCAAAACCAAAAATCCCTTTCGATTCCTTCCACTGAACGAAGGTCGCAAGCTTCGATTTGTGCCAATCAAAAACTATAAAATTAAGATTGGCTTCCAAATCTCAATTGATCATAACCTTATTCAGATTCTCTGAATAAAATCCATTCTTAGAATTTCCTTTGTACTCAGGAGATAGAAGTATAAAATTCTTCTCTCAGCAAATTCCGGTTATTTAGCCAACAAAACCAAGAGATCAGGAGAAGAAATAAAATTCTTCCTCCTCCATCATCGGTGTTTATCCTCACCAACAAACAAGAAGACCCGTGAGAGTAGAATATAAAATTCTCCCTCTCCATCAATCCGGGTTTATTCTACTCAATCAAACATAGAGAACCAAGCGAGATTAGGAATATAAACATTTCCTCTCCAGAATTTCGGTATCCCTACGCACCAAAAAAGAGACCAGAATACTCCAAATAGGTACAGCGAGTTTCAAAATGGTTTTCCTAACCCCAGGCGCCTTCCGGAGAGATCCATCTCCTCAAGAATAATCGTAAAGATAAACCTGAATCTCAAATAGTAGAATCAATTGACGACCAAAGCTGATATTCAACAAGTAAAGTTCGCCTTTAAATTCCAGAACTCTAACATGGCAAGACGATAAAACGTGAATGCCGGAAGAATCATAACTAACCTACAAGGCACTGAATAGATGAGAGACAAAGAGATGCACAAGATTGAACCACCACGGGTCCTCTACAAACGATCTACTCACCAAGACATATGAAGCGATCGCAAGTAAGAATCTCTATCCAAAGCACCCAGAACTCCGCTATAAAGATTCATCCCTGGCACCAATACCCTTATGGACGACGGAGTATCTGTAGGCTCCAACAAAAATGCCTGAAGATAATCCATCCAGCTCAAGAAGGAAATCCGTGCCAAAAAAGCCAATAAAAAAAACACCAAGTCTTACTGTCTCGCGAAAGCCGAGACTAGACTATGACTGCTGCACAGACTTGACAGGTCCGCCGGGCTAGAACGTCATTTACTGGCATCAGCGCGCGGGAGACAGATCTTTACCTGTACACGCGGCGACGGCAGAGACAGACTTTGCTGTCGTCGGGCCCACGCGAAGACAGTTCTTTGCTGTTCTCGCCCACCCAGCGAGGCCGTCTTGCGTCTTCGCCAACAGCGAGACAGTCTTTGCTCGTCTCGCCGAGGCCGAGCAGAAACTTACTGTCTGCGGCTACGGAGAAACACTTTCAGACTGTCAAAACTCCCGTTTTACAAACTTTCCATAACACGGCCACTAACTGTTCAGAAACGCTGGGAAACGTCGTGGGCGGAAAATCAAACGTGATCACTGGCCACATAAAAGGAGTTTGAAACGGTGGGAAACAGCTAAGATGAAAACTGCCTGCGGTTACTGTCCGGCGAGACAGTGTTTACTGCTCGCGGGCCGAGACAGTGTTCTATGTCACGCGGCCCGAGACAGCAAACACTGTCTCGCCCGTCGAGACAGCAAAAGCTGTCTCGCGAACCTGTTTTCTGCCAACTGTTCTTGGAGGTTATAAATACCCTCCTAAGGCCATTTTTCCAAAAGGGCTGATCATTGTGAGCACTTCAGAGTAATCCAGAGCAATCCAGAGCAGAGAGAGAGCAGAGGTGCTGATCTTACGGCCAATCCTTGAAATTGAGCTTTGACTTGATTTCAAGAAGAACGACTATCTTACATCGATAAGATATCGTTTCAATTTCTCACTTCGATAAACGAAGTCAGAATCATAAACCCCTCACGGTTCAATCAGAATCTGTGACTTGGTGGTCCACGAGTCAAAGCGCTCCCGGCACAGGCAAAGATCCCACGAAAGCAGTGATCCAAACAACGATCCTGCGTTTATTTTCTCAAGAGTTGTAATTTTCTTTTTGTTGTGTAAAAGAGTCTTATAAAAAGGCTGTTTTCTTTGAATTTATTGTAATCGACCGAAGATATAATGAATTCGATAACAAATTCGACTTTTGACGAAAACAGGGCTGACTGGGGGAATTCATGATCGTCAGCCTCCTGGCGTCGAGCCTCATTTGATGAGACGAGCATCGCTGCGTCGCAAGGTTGGTCTAATGAGACGAGCCTTGATGCGTAGAGAGATTCGTCTGACAGAGCGTGTTTCGTTGTGTGGTGAGCTTTCGTCTTTGGTGGTCGATCCTCACTGCGTGGTGAGCCTCGTCTTCTGGGGCGGGTCTTGCTTCTTAGCGAGGTTCCTCTCTGGATGAACTTCGTCTGATGAACTTCGTCTGACGAACTTCGTATATTCTTAATGGACTTCATTTTCTAAAGGAGCTTCATCTCCAATGATGAGCTCCGTCTTCAGTGGCGAGCTTCGTTTTCAAAGACGAGTTCGTCTTCTAAATGATAAAGCATTGAGAGCTTCGTTCGTGGGCAAACCTCGCCTTCAATAACGAACTTCGTCATGCTAGTAGCGAGCTTCAACACTCTTTTATTTCTTGACATTTTTTAGTGCCTACACCTGTCCCTCAGACATGGTTGATGTATCATTCACTTAAGATTTGATTACTTTATCTCGTTTTGACCGTTATGTGTAAGTGACAGTTGGTATGACCCTCCCTACGTTGTTATTGTCGTTTACGTCAGATTTGGTATGAGTAAAGCATGCATGTCCAATACTCGTGGTTGATGTGTCGTTGATGTGTCCCTCCACATTTAACATGCCGCAATTGACATCACACACATCTACACCACACAACCGTGAGATTAAGATACGTAAACCATAACCAACGACAGCTCTAGCAGGGGGAATAGGGACATTTGACCCCACCAACCCCAAAAAATAATTAGTTTAATACTAAGCTAAAAAATTATTTTGCTTAGTATTATTAGAAGTAGTGTTTTCAAAGAAACAAACATATTTTTCTTCTCGAATGTAACAGAAACGACGCATATTTCATTTACTTCACATACTTTATAGTTACTTCCATGTAAACAAACAGGCACTTAAAATAGAAGGAAATCTAACCCTACGTACAATGGTAATGAATTTTAACAAAGCACTCTTATTGACTATTCTTTGTTTATACATATCTATATACACATCAGATATCATTAATACTTACGCAAAAATATCATGTACGTACGTACTTATAAATCAAAATTTCTGGATCCACCGCTGATCAATAAGAGACACACCGAGCTCTACTCGGTTTGTATATACAAGAAAAAAAAAATTTTAAAAAAAATAGAAAAAAGAAAGACCTCGCTACGTTACCATTAATAGCAAAAACAAAAAGACTCAAACAAGAGGCGACGCTCGTCTCCTTGCTCCAGGTTGCTTCACTACCCCCCCATGCAACCGCACACTTGCCACCTTTCTTCTGAGCTCCCACCAACGGCCTGCTCAATTACCTAAATGCCCCTTCTAGTCCCGAATGCGTCCGTCGAGGCCAGGGTCAATTTCGTCCTCACGCCCTCGCCTCCTCACGCTACGTGCCCAGATTCCTCTCCCCCTCCCTCCCCTGATACTTTTCATGGCTCCCTATAAATATCTCTCTCGCTCCCCTCATTTTCCCATCCAATTAATGTTTTCTTTTTTGAATTCTGAGCAGGTTTAGTTCGCATTTTAACGCTTAAAAAATCTTAGCGAAATCTGTTAAAAATAGGGGTTTTCCGGTAGCGATCGAAGGGGAGAAACCCGAAGGAGGAGAGAAAAAGATTTCGACTCTGGGTTTAATAAGGGTACAGCTGGAGGGTATTTAAGTCTTTTTTTTTTGGCTATTAAAAGGCTAAGCTACTAACTTTGGCGAGTGGGGAGCAGATGACTTCCCTTAACCAAAATTAGCAAAACAGAAAGGAAGAAAAAAATTTCGTTTTTTTTTGTTTTTTTTACTTCTAGTTTTTACCCTAATTTAATGGATCTCATCTTCTTCCCCCTCTGAATGAGATTAGGCTCAGTAATTAGAGAGGGTAAAATGGCGTGTACCTCCATCAGAATCACCTCATCAGCAACCTCGCCGGCGACGACGGCGGATATCCCCGGAATGCGGCGATCGGAGTCAGCCAAGGACCTCCGCTGCGACCGCGGAACCAAAATCCGGCGATCTCGATCGGAGCCTCAGCTGAAATGCTCGCTCAACGTCCCCAAAGCAGCCCTAACAACGAAATCGAAGAGCATTGGTAAGTTCCCCTTCAACTTCGCGATTCCGAAGATCCTCTCGGATTACGACGAGACGAGCAGCAGATCGAGCCTCGGCCTGGTCGATCAAGATCGGGAAGACGCCGACGATAATGCTTTAATGAAGAGAGGGAATTGGGTCGAGAGGATTCTGGAGCTGCGATCGAAGTGGAGGTCTCGGAAAGAGAAAGAGGAGGAGGAGGTTAATGGAGATGCAGGAGATTTTTATTGCGGGGTTTCGTATGAATCCGACGAAGAGGAGAAAACGGAGGTTGAGGACGAGGAATGGGATTCTGTTAAGTTCGGGAGGTTGTTGACGAGGGTTTCTTGGTCGGAGACGAAGATGATGGCCAAGCTCGCATTTTTGTGCAACATGGCCTACGCTATTCCTGAGATCAAGGTAAATTTCAAGTTTTTTTTTTTCCTCAAATTTAATTTTAGGTTTTTTTTAAATGGTTCATACGAGATGCGTTGATCTGTTCACCGGTCACCAACTTTTTGTTTGTTGTGATTCTCTAAACTGAATTTTGAGAAATTAATTTTCAGTGGATTTTTTTTAGAAATTGTAGTTTTACTTTGGTGCTAATTTTGATTAATTGGTATGTTAATCTTGCACATTTAAAGGCGTAAAATTGCAGGTGGTAGTTCTCCATTAATTATGAGTCTATCAGCACTCAAATCATTTATTGGCAACTATCAGCCTAAAGTCATGAGGGATAGAAAAGCATCCATGCGGAGTATTTCACAGTTAATAAAAGTAAAATGATAATTATACCACAAGGTCCCGTGCTAATTTTGCACTATTCCCCTTTCTTGAATATTGTCAAAAAATAACAAATAATTGTCAGCCGTCGAAATTTTTTTTGTTTGTGATGATACAAAAGTAGCATAAACTTTATATATAACGCGGTCAGTGGCGTAGCCAGGATTATTTTTTGCCCTGGACGAAAAATAAAGGTGGTTTACGAGTATGAGGAGCTCAGTGAGAGAGAGGAGGGAGACGCGAGAGAGGGAGGAGGGAGAGGTCGTGGGAGAGGCGGAAGATCAGGGAAATGCTCGACAAACTTGAAGAGAGGAAGGAGATGAGGAAGAAGAGAGGGGAAGCGGGGAGGAGAGAGGGTGACAATGGCGGGATATTCTTCTTGCCCAGGGCAAGAATACCCTGGCTACGCCACTGAATTATGCGGTTACTGCTGCTCTTAATAAAATAGCAGGGAAGTGACAAGTGGCATCGAAGCCACGAGGTTGAATTTGGAGTATCCCCCCCCCAAAATAAAATGGACTTGAAGTTAAGAATAAAAAATAGTGAATGTAACTATAAACTTTTAAGGGGAAAAAAGTTAAGTATATAGTAGCGCGTTTTCAAGGGGAGCGTGTGACGATTATCGGAAGTGATTGGTACTGCAAAATATACAATGGCATTTCCCGTAAGATAAATTATCAGATGCCGTTGTCTCCACAGGGACCGGGGGGAAGGACTATAGAACGAGCTACCGGCTGACAGCTGTCACCTCTCCTCGGCAAAAGAAGACATGGCACGGTCAAATGCAATCCGGGCCAAGCGCGGGTCGGGTGCGCTAAAACCGAACACAGAGGCGCACAGTCACGCCTGCAGCTGGCTAGGATCGCCGCCTCGGCGCTTCCTAGGTCGCTCGCGTGCCAGGGGCGCTGCTCTCCGTTCGGCGGTCGGCGGAGGAGGATAGTGGGCCGCACGGGGGCACGGAATGAGGCCGCGTGGCGAGTGGCGGCTTTCGTGGCGGCGTTCGACGATGACGTGCGGTGGTGGCGGCGGAGGAGGAGGCGAGGCTGGCAGGGGCGAAAGGGGCTGCGTCGGTGGCATCGTCGGCTGCGAAGTGTTTTTGTGTGCGCGATCCGGCACGTGCACCCGGTGCTTCGTCATCCAGGTAATTTCTGGGGATTTTGCTGGGATTTTACGTAAATTGGGCAGCTTATTAAAACTGTTTTTTTATTAATTGGTTGGCGGGAATTTTCAGATTAAGTTGAATCTTATGGCATTGCTGGTGGGATCTTTTATGTGGGGGCCTTGCTCCTGTTGAATTAACTAGTTTAAGGCCGGTGCGATGCACAAATTTGTTTAATATATAAAAATTAATGTAGCAAAAGAATACAAAGTAAAACAGTAATAATATATAAATAGTCAGAAATAATACAGTCTAAGTTGCATATATAGTTTGGAAAATTAGAAAGTTTGGAAAACTTAAATCAGTTTAAGATCATATATAGTTTGAAAAATGTAATTGTATAAAAACGGTATTCAGAAATATGGTGGGAGTTATTTTATTATTTAGAAGGTAGAAAAAATTCAAAATTAAAGTAAAATGAGTTATTTTATTATTTAGAAGGTAGAAAAAATTCAAAATTAAAGTAAAATGTCAAAAAAGTACCAAAATGGGTAAACTTAAAAAAAATGAAAAAATAAAAGGTTTGGAAAAATGTGAACATGGGAAAATAATATTTGAACATTTTGTGTGAGTCATATCAATATTTAAACCGTTATAACTTTCCAAAAAAATTGGTAAAATAAAAGTGTAATGTCGAAAAACAAAGAAAATATAATAACTATCATATAAGGGGTGTATGACATCCACCTGACGAAAATAAGAGACAATGTAATACCAAAATCAAATAAAGTCAGTGTAAGAAAATTGTATATGATTGCAATTTAAGAACAGAGACAATGTAATACCAAAATCAAATAAAGTCAGTGTAAGAAAATTGTATATGATTGCAATTTAAGAACATCATCAAACCATAAGATCAGTGTAAGAAAATTGTATATGATTGCAATTTAAGAACATCATCAAACCATAAGAATACGACATAAGAAATACTCAATTAGTTAAATAAAATGTAATTTTCACATACTCTATATAAACATAAGAAAGAACAAAAATATTGAAGTGAAATGCATTGCTATTGGAGAAAAAATAACAAAATATAATATAAGAGAAATACATTCTAGTAAGATTATATTGAGTTCATCACTTACCAACATTCTAGTAAGATTATATTGAGTTCATCACTTACCAATAGTAAAGATAAACAAAGAAACAAACAGATCTGAAACAGAAAAATATAATTATATAGAAAGAAAAGAAAAATACACTTGTATTCAATAAGATACATGAATTGAAAAATAAAATTTTAGTTTGTCAAACATGCACACAAGCATGCACCACTACATACATATATATTACAGGACACGCTCAGATAGAGCTAACAAATTTATCCAAAACTTAAAATCACATTAGAATAATTTCATGCTATGAATTAGCCGAAAGGGGAAAATTTTCTAGCGTGAGGCGGGTGAAATAATTATAGGTGGAGAAATAAAAAGGGGTGAGGAGGCGGGTGAAAGGAGATGTGGGTGAAAGGCTAATATGGGTATGTGTCATTTTTGTCATGTGTCATTTTTGCTGGGTGGCGTTTTCAAGGGTATGTGACATTTTTGCCAAGTGGCGTTTTTAAGGGTAAGAGTTTTTAGTAATAGTATATAGATTACAGAAGCATGTTTAGACTAAATAAAAGTTTAATTTAAGGTTGTCAAACAATAGTCGCTTCAGTACTAATAAATTAGATATTTGACCTACAAGAGGTACAAGTTGCGATTTGCCCACACAAACTCATGTTGAATGAGAAAATATGTTCTTAGAAAATTCTTGGTACAATCAAGTTTTGGGTTTAGCATGAACAATCTTTTGTTTTGTTTTGTTTTTCTTTTTTCCATTTGAAGTGAGTCTGTATTTACCAACTCATTGAAAATCGGTCATGTTTGAACTTAATCTACTTGTATAGTGTTTTGTTGATCGCAAAAACTAGTCTCGCAAAAACTAGTCAGAAATGACTTTGTTTGCTTTTAGTCTGTTTTTGGGCTTTTAAATTTGGTTTAGTTTGGTAATAATAATAATAATAATATAGTTGCGAGCTAGAAGATTTGGTAAAACTAGTTCTTACCAAAACCAGTTTAAGACCAAGCTTAGCCTAATTTTTGTGCGGTAAGTATTATGCTATTTAAATTTTACAAAGAGTCCAGCTGTTCCATCTTAAATTGACCAATTTGTCACCCTCCAAAAGCCAGCCCATACATTTGTTAGTTTAGCCTCCTTAAATTTTATCGAATGCTCTAGAGTTTCTCAAGTCATAATCTACTTGCTTTAATGATAACTTCTTATCATTCGAGGTAGCATATTCATATTCAAATGGGAGAAAGAGCAGGATGAAACGAAGTTGGATGTAATTGTCAACCATTAAACCTGTATTAATTGTTTGTGAGTTAATAATATAGTTGGGGTTGTTCCATCTTTCTTCCGACGGACCAAAGTAAACAAATTCACACGAAAGATTTGAGTTGTTCTGAAAAATATAGATAATACTGCTACATAAATGTGTTCTTGCTTTAAGAGATTAATTGCATTGCATGAAATACTACCACCATTGAGTCTTGTATGTGAACGGTACCCTAACAAATGTACATGTTGGACTGAATGACAGGGTTCTGACTCATTGGCATCCTGGCAAGCCAACCTTATGTTTGATCCTACCAAATTTGAGGTGAGCTTCCAATTTGATCATCATATATTGGTAATTTTTACAAAACTATATATGCATGACCTTTGGAATGTTTTATGCAAAAACTATCATAAGTTTTTTTAATTAAAAACATTACCGTGAACTTTTTTCTCCACAAAGTACCATGTTTAGCAGCAGTTAGGATAAGCGGTTGCATGCAAAATATTTTGGACACTTTTATTCTTACGCGCTTTACCGCAGTTTTCATCATGGTAGTTTTCTCTAATAAGAGAGTTTTATGGTAAATGCAAAATCCTCTAAGGTTCATGGCAGCAAACATTAAACTGAACAGATAGCAATCTGCTCCTCATTCCTCATGATGATCTAATACTCAAAAATTATCACTAAGCAGGGAACCGAGGTGTTAGTTCACCGAGGAATCTACGAAGCAGCAAAGGGAATATACGATCAATTCATGCCCGAGATCAAAACCCATTTAAAACGCTACGGTAACCAAGCCAAGTTCAGGTTCACAGGCCACTCTCTGGGAGGCAGCCTCTCATTGCTCGTCAACCTCATGCTCTGTGCTAGGAATGCAGTCCCGTTGTCCTCTCTTCTTCCTGTTGTTACATTTGGATCTCCATCGGTTTTCTGTGGTGGAAGAAGAGTGGTTGATGCACTTGGGCTCGATGAAGGGCACATTTTATCGGTGATGTTGCATAGGGATATTGTGCCTAGAGCCTTTTCGTGTAGTTATCCTCATCATGTCGCGCAATTGCTCAAGCGTCTTAATGGCTCATTTCGGTCTCATCCTTGTCTCAGCGGAGAGGTAACTTAAAATTCCTAACTCAATGATATTAGTCATTCTAGCGTTTAGCAGTTACTTAGATGAGAAATAGTAAATAGTTATAGTTTAACGTGTAAAAGAAAAACTTTCAAAGAAGAAAATATTGTTGTCTTTTTTATTTTTCATAGGTTCATATCGTTGATTCTTATGTAAAGGAATTTAATAAATTGACCTCTAAGGTAAATAGTTTTAAATTTCAATTTTCTTGAAACCTGAAAATCAAAGTTTAAGATAAATAGTTTAGCTATATGTAGGCAGAGATGCATATTATCGAGATAGGACTTGCGAGCTACTAGATTTTAAAAAATATTCTTAGCTTTAAGAACATGTAGTATCTTTTTCTTATTATAAAAAGGGTTAACTGTTGATAGAAGCCCTGGTCCCTATGCTATCGCCCAATTGCGGATAGACCCCATATATTTCCACGGGCGTGGATAGACCCCTGAGTTCTATTAATTGGTGCTGGCAGACCACCTTTTCTACTTGCCCAAGTGTGAATAGACCCCTAAGTGAACTTTTTCGACTCCTAACTAAAAACTAAAAGTTGATTATGACCTCGATTTAGTTGTGACTATTAGAGAATCTTATTGAATGATAGTTCTCTTAGCAATCACACTGATAGTACACCTCGTGCATTCAGAAACAACCAAGTCAACATGCAAATTTCTAAATATACAAACATGATTCACATGCGAAATTTAGAAATGAACATGTTAACACCCTTACCATGTCATCTGTAACATTTCATCTTTTGACTTGTATTCTTGGTTGTGGCATATTGCAGAAATTGCTGTATTCTCCTCTTGGAAAGTTCCTAATCCTGCAACCCAACGAAAAATTATCTCCCCCGCACCCTCTCCTTCCCCCTGGACCCGCCCTCTACTCTCTCGACAAAAATCACATCACCACCCATGCACGCGCCATAAAAGCCTTTCTCAACTCCCCTCACCCTCTTGAAACCCTAAGCAGCCCATCGGCCTATGGATCCGAGGGCACAATCATCAGAGACCACGACTCTAGCAACTACCTCAAGGCCATCAATGGCCTCATCAAGCAGCACACGAGCGCGTACGTTATGAGGCCGAAGAAGCAGAGGTTGAGCTATTTGTGGCCTCTGAGCCTTGAGAAGCCGGTGTTGGTTAAGGAAGTCGCCAGCACTTGATCAGCTTGAGGAAAGTATCGGAGTCAATCATTCTCATTAACTTTTGTATAATTATAGAAAATATGTACGTTTGTCAGCCTTCCTGTATATGATAATCCTCCCGTTGTCACCCCTTCTGTATCTGTAGCTATATATATCTATAGGGCTAAATATATGTTGTCTAGATGTGTATGTTTCGGTTATGGATCGATACCAAATAAAAAAAATGATATATAGCTTGTAAATTATCTCTACCAAATCAAATAAAAGGTGATATATAGTTTGTAAATTATCTTGGTCTATGTTTCATTATTATTGATCTTGTGAGCTGGATGGTGGCCGTACTCAAAATCAGGGTCATCAGATTTCACAAATTGGCTGTGTTGCTCAATTATAGCCGGGGGCCGTTCACGGGATACTTTCACGTTTTATTAAGACACCGGTTGCATCAAATGATGATTGGTACTAATTAATATGTGATTAATTGCACTTAAACCCAAACGTGCTATCAAATAAACAGTTGGACTGAAAACTCTGAAATGTGGCAAAATAACTGAAAATCGAATTTGTGATTGAAGCAGAGAACGGTGGGAAAATATCAAAAATTATGGTAGCGGCTGAAGCATCAATAATGAATTGCTTCCATTATTAATGATTTCATCATGTAGAACTCGTAATCACGGGAGAGATGACGTGGACACTTTGCAGTAATCATCATTATCGGCTGTTAAAATTAGTTGCGGTGTACCAGATTAGAGACTCGTCTTAAATTGAAACAATCAATTATCTTATCTTAAAGTACAAGATAAGTTTACTTTTCATTTACAATTATTTTATTTCATGTGAGTATGATATTTACATATAGAATGTTATTTGGATATAAATAAATGATTAGGATTTATTTATTTTTTAAATCTGTGCTATCAAATAAGAGACTTTATGTATATACTATTATCTTGTATTTGAAGATAAGATACTAACATATTGGGCGGAAATTTTTGAAGTTTTTCTTTTCAAGAACATAAATTCTTCAAGTGAGAGGATTTATGCAAATACATCTATAAAATAACACGAGATCTATAAAACAATTTTGCAAAATATTACGCTATCTAAAACTCAATAACGCCGAATTATAATGCTCTTCCTCTAAAATCTGAAGTCTCATATGAGGTGATAACTATGATGAATAGCAACAATTTAATTGCGATCGAGTGCTAAAAAAACCTCCACTGGATCATAGCATAAAATAATCCAATCATAATTAGGCGCAAATATTTGGTTTACAACTCAAAATACATTCAACTTTCCGGATATAACTTGAGTAGTAAATCTCCAATGGTTGTGGAGTAGCTACTCAAGATGTTAAAGTCTCTTACAAGGGGGGAAAATTGGAAAAGGTATCAAAACTCTTTACTTGTAAAAGATAGCAATGGGACGAACGAGGCTATAGAACTCTCTACTTTGAACGCAATCCTGGGATATTCAAGCCCAAATGCATCTTAGACAATATTTTTCTGGGTATTGCCGGAGGAATTTCAAGTCCCATGCTTCGGCTGTACTCGTTTGCAAGGTTTACAAGGTTATTCTTGTCTTTTCCAACAAACTTATCTCCATTGTAGTAGCCGAGCCATGCTTGATATGCTGATTCCTTGGTCTGCATATCTACATTTGACAGTGCTTGTTTCACCTGAGACGTTATGATTAAAATTAAAATTTGTGCAAGTAAAACAAGGCAAAAGGCTGGAAAAAATTGCCTCAGCTTCAATTGTATAGTTGGTAATACACTCATTCAGTACTTTTGTTTGCACTTTCTTTTTAATTGTTTGCATTTTTAAAATTGGTAGGGAAACATGTTTAGCCTCCTCTTTGTGATTTCCTGCAGTGTGTCCACCATATAAGGCTATGATCCAGACATAAACATTAACAGTTTGCTATTGTCGGACAAAAACAGAAGCATTAATAAAAACTGCACTGTTCAACTGAAGGAGAAATATCATTTGATGTTTAATTATGCTATAGTGTAGCTAGAAAAGCTCCTGCTAAAGATTTCAAATCGTCAATAGAGACTAAAGAAGAAGCAAGAAACTAAAGTTTGATAGCATGAACTACAGCCATAACAGAGGCAAAAATTGCAGCACAAAAGAAAGAAGTAAAACTTGGCCCTGAAACCACTGCAGCTTCCGACTTTAGTGTTTCTTGCAAACTTAATGTTGCACAGATATTTCATTGGTGTTGAATTCATTATTTCATTGCTATTAGTCACAGCATATCATACCCCCATGAATTTTTATCAACTTCCATATCATTGTGTCAGGAATAGCTCAAGTACTTCATCAAAAGATTGTAAGGGTTAGTATAAATCCAAACAGGTTTAAAGATTAAAAAAAGGATGAAAAATACGCACTTTCTTTTTGACGTTTGGGTCAACCGTAGGGATTGAAGCCTCTGCCAAAGGTAAATCCTTGATCTTAGACAGGAAGTACTTCTCTTGAGGTGCCAAAATCAATATGCCTTTTCCTTCTTTACCCTTTCGGCCAGTTCTACCAAGTCTGTGTATGTATTGCTCTCTACTAGCTGCCACTCCAAGCTGAAACAGAGTTAGTGAGATAATTTTGTTTTATGCACAGTATTTGGTCAAAAGTCCATATGTTTATGCTTGTCCAAACATAGACAAAAATAGACTTTCCCCTATAATAAGAGTACTTAGCTGTTTATACCCCCTAAACTATTTACTAGCAATTACACCCCTTGAATTCCAAACAAATTAGCTTGGGATGTCATGTGGGAACCACAAGATGATATATCTTTTGCTCCCAATTATATTAGAAAAAGGACTAATTTTCCCTCTGAACATTGTTCAAATTCAGAAGCATAAGTGCTAATAGAAAATTTTAGTGAATACAAGTGGTTGCACCATCAACTACGGATGGCACATCTGCAATTAAACCAAAGATTTATTATGTAGTAGAAGTTACCTGTGCAACAAGGGAAATGTCTGGATAATCTACACCCCTAGCAGAAACATCAGAACTCACAAGTATAAGACTTTTTGATTTCCTGAACTCTTCGGAAACCCTGTTTCTTTTGTTCTGGTTCATTCTAGAATGTATCTCACGAACATTCATACGCAGCTGAGAGAGAAGACTAGCAACAAGCCTCGTGCCCATTGCAGTTGTACAAAATATAATAACCTGTAGAGCATTGTTGTAAGGCTCAACATCCAGAAAGAAATAAATCAAATAATAGATGCAAAGGATTTATTATAACGACTTGCCTTGTAGTCAGAATCATCTGAAATATGCTCAGACAAAATCGAATATAGTATTGGGAAATGATCACCTAGTGGTGCAACCAAATGCATCTGACTAACCTGATAAACAAGTCATGTTAAAATTAAATAAATAAATAAATAAATCTAATCATTGCCTGAAAAAAGTGTTGCAGTCATGAACAGTAAATGATACCTGTGCATGTGTTTCCTCAGTTCCTTCTTCGACTGTATTAATGTACTCATGATCATTTTTCATGGCAATCTTACAAATATGGCGAACCTATACATGAAACTGTAATTTTAGACTCCTCAAGATTACTAGGAATTGTTGAATATAAAAAAATATGTATACCTCATTTGAAACCGTGGCAGAGAAGAGAAGTGTTTGTCTTTCAGTAGGAACAGCAGCAATAATTTTCTCAATATCTTTCCTAAAGCCCATATCTAGCAAACGATCCGCCTCATCAAGAATCAGGACCTTCAGATGCTTAAGCTGAGCAGAAAATCCCGCTGTGTTTTTAATGTGATCGGTAAGCCTTCCAGGTGTCGCTATAAGAATCTGTTGAACTAAAATTCAGTATACTTTGATAGGTGAAATATCTCATTCACATACTAAAGAAAAATAGCTCAAGTATTAACCTGGCATGGTTTGGTTCGTAGCCTCTTCTGTTCTGCACTTATTTTTGTGCCACCTGTTATAACTTGTACACTGATAGACGAGTGATACTTTGTTAGTGTATTAGCCACTGTTGCCACTTGAGTTGCAAGTTCTCGAGTCGGCAATACCACAAGAACAAAAATTGGGGAACCTTTGCGATCACAAGCAAGAAGAGGCAACTTGGAAACAACCTCAATTGCTGGAAGCTGAAATCAACCATTATGTAAATAAAAATACTGGATTTTACCATTACCAGCATGAGATGATGTACGATACAAGTACAAAGAGAAAAAAAGTTAATAGAAGAAGTAATCAAGAAAATTACCAGAAAAGAAGCTGTTTTCCCTGTTCCTGTCCTTGCCTTCGCAAGGACGTCTTTTCCTACAACAGATGAGAGATCGATTAAGAACATATCCAATGTCTATATGAATATTCATGTGAGAAAACACGTTCTTTAGCCTTAAGCTAATGAACTTCTTCAAGCGATAAATATGAACAAAAGAATGAGATTTATAATTATAAGCAAACAGCTTATATTCCTCAAAATGAACAGTATGCATATGCATAGTTTCGACTCTCTAAACTGGTAGTCAACTGACACATTGCAAAGTCGTTATGTGGTGCATCATCGAAGTCTTACGACACAAATATTCACTAGAATAAATTAAATATGCCAATGTGGTAACCAAGAGCAATTTTATTTGTTTTGTATGTTCAGTATAAAAAGTAATGCAACAGGGAGATGGTGGTTAATCTGGAATAATTACACTTTGTCTTAAGAAAGATTTCTGCATTGATTTGTTAGTTTCTAACATCATCAATTTTGATCGTTAATAGACTATAAGGATTCTGCTTGTGAGATACGGATTAGCTAATATCATAAAGTTTGCTACAAGAAACAATGTTTTTCAAGTGTAAAGTGTGTCTAATTTTGATACTCGGTTATAAGAGAATTGACGGTACATGAGTTTTAAGATGGATAGAATTAAATAACATAGTACATGATTAGGTCTAAAAAGTTAACTCAAATATTGGTGAAAAGGTGATATAATATTATTACCGCATATGGAAGTTGAGAATGGTTAATGGTAATTTTCCCCCTTTCGATTGAGATAGTGCAAGAATCATATACCATTCCTTGTTTGCATGTCTTCAGAAGTAAAGATAATTAAAACAATGGTTTGCCAGTAAAAAGTAGCTTGAATTAATATTTATGAATTAGGTGGTAAGTACTAGGTACCATTTCCTTCTAAGGGTTTCATATTATATTCATTGAACTATTTGTACCAACTAAAGTTATTCCCTGCAAGAACTGCATTAACTTGAAAGCCTTTATAGGGCAAACGGTTTACATACCGAGCTCTTGAAGGATGCTTTGCTAATACTTGCACCAAAGTACCTTTACGTCAATATTACCACATTTATGAAATTACCTTTTAGTAGTAAGATAGATGAGTGGAAGCTGATCAATATTTATTTTACCAAAAATAGAGAGTGAACTTAAATATTCATGTAGAAGACTATAAATCAGAATAGCAGCAAAAGTTAAGAGAACAATCATGTGGTTTATCTGAAATTAAATGTAGAAATAATAGAAACTGACCAAATTGCAAGTCTAATTATGATCTGAGAGACCTATTAGAATTTTTAACGCATTTGAAGGACTAACATCTGATTCTTCATCAAATATTATTTAAATGAATTGAGATTAGAAAACGATCAAATCTGGCTATTTTTTTAAAATCATTTATTTAATGAGGCCCAGTTAGGCTGAATCCTTCACGAGAGAAACCTATGGGCCCGAAGGAATATCTCACGCTTCACCCATGCATAATAATCTTCATTTCATAAAGATATTTGAAAGCAATGCTATCAATAATATATTAGTTTTCTTTTTTACGGATGATAAGTTAATGACCCACCTCTATATTTTGGCAACAACTTTGTTACTTAAGAAATATAAGATTAAAAAATTAAAAATCTCAGGAACAACTTCTGTACTCCCAAAAAAAGAAAAGACAAAAAAATCAATTGCCAATTTCGCAGATAGACTGGATTGTTGTGCAACTCATTCTAACACAAGTATCCTTCTAATTATATACTTTAATATTCATACACAATCAATTATTAATAAAAATAAATACTATACCCAAAACATAAAACAATCAACAACTTAACAACAACACACACCAACTACAATGCTAACACGAACACACAAACAAACGCAGGCCAAATGTGCTCTAATGAGGCCCACTAACACTTTGCTGGCGGCGTCATATTACACTAATGTGTTTTGATAGGAATAGAAATCCTACAATAGGATTTAGTGCCTTTACATCAATAGAAGATTGTCGAATATTGTGCAGCAATACTTTTTTGATATAATTTTGTTATGTTTTTTGTTTTTTGATATTTATTTGTTTACCTATAGGATAATACTATCTCAATTCTAATTTCGTACTCAATATTTATTCCACAAAAAAACCAATCTATTATCACAAAAAAAAACCAATTTATTAGGCGAAAGAATGATGTTTCAATTTCCAAATGACGGTTCCCGATATACCTTTAAGAATGACAGGCAATGTTGCTTCTTGCACAATAGTCATCTTCTCATACCCAGCTGCTTTTATTCCCTCCAGCGACAATGAAGAAATTGGGCATTGATCAAACCTGTATCAAAAAGTCAAAGAAATTTAACGGTTGAAGAAACTACGAACAATTTGATAACATTTAACGGAGGAAATGACCCATAAATGAGCTGAACGACAAATAAAAATAAAAATCATGCCCGCTAAAAATTTGAGGTAAAGGTTTCGTTTTTATTGTCGTTACCTCGTGTTCGAGAAATGAGATTCATTTGCTTGCGCGCTGCCTCCATTAACAGCGTTAACTTCACCTTTCGAGCTTAGATTTTCCGCAGAGCTCACCCCATCATCATCACTGCTCTCCTCGATTCCATGTTTTGGGACATCAAAGGGCACTCTTTTCTTCTTCGACGAACTCGAATCAAGATCCCTTCTTTCCCCCTTCCTCTTCATTTTCGAAGACGAACGAACTGAATCGGCCTTCGTGTCGCCGATTTGATCAGTTGGCTTGGGTATTCTTGTTCTTTAGAGAGGTCCCCATGATCGAGGTTGAGATCGAGATGGGAAACCCTAACCGCCGTTTTCGACGGAGACGGAAAAAGAAAGAGGGAAAGGTTCAAGGAGTGGGTTTTATTTGAGGGTTTTATCATGTACACCCTTTATAGTTTTCTAATTGCAATGCTTTTTAAGCGGAGAATAATATTTTCACAAATTATTGTACTCGGGAGACCGAAATTTTTTGATTTAACTTATTGGATAAGTAACGAATAAAAAATATTGATGTACTAGTGATCACACAGTCAATTGGATCCAGGATAGGATTGGTTTGTTCAATATTGAAGATGGGCCGCTTTCTTTCCTGACTTTATGTCTGGTTCTTGAATGGGGGTTGCTGAACAATCTGCACATACAGAAATTCGTGAGAGGGCGGGAATTGGTCCCCCGTTGTACCTCCAACGATCAAGTTAGTTGATGAAGTAAGTGGGGGTAAAAGAAGAACTGTGTGTTCTTGTAATTGTGTAGTGTGTGCGTTAGAGGATCATATTTGTGAACCCCTTGAATGTTAGAATAGTACATGTATATTATACTCGGTGCATAAGGGGTAGATTAGTCATTTCGGCCGAGCACGGAAGGACGATGGCGAAGTGCGGACTGGCAGCTGAGTCAGTCACTGCTTTACAGGTGTCGGCTGACGACTGGAGGGAGGATCTCCTCAACATTAGATGAGAAGTGAGAGGGAGTATGGCGGTGGCCCACGTGGTTCGATGAGTTATAAAGGTTGTTGGGGCTAGAGGCATGATAATGCCTGCTAAACATTAAATACGACGTGGACACGTTGTTAGCGAGGATAAGCTCGAAGCAAATGTTATACTTTAGCTTCGCCGAGAAATAACGTCTTTCTAGTCGTCCTCGTGAGGCGTTAGTCACATGGTTGTGTGGACTCCTGGTGAGTTGTTTTCGACAAGCCAGGCCGACTAGTACGGCTCTTCGAGTCGACAGCGAAGGAATAACGACGATCACTAGTCAGCTAAGTCCGAAAATACATTTGTTCGCTACTCGTCAATAAATTGTATTTCGGTGAGTGGAAACACCATAACACGAGTCAATTTGAGATGATGTGTTTTTCCCCCCTCTCTGTTGGCGGCTAGAATTACATGCAAGATATTCTGGTAAGACTTACAGTACATTATATTTCAGCAAAAATTTTCATAAAACTGCCATTTCTAATATTACTAGCTTTTTTGTAAATGAGTTTATTGATTCAAATTTATTCTCTTCAATCACGTGTCTAATTTACCGTACAGCATCCTAACATTCCGGGTCGGGTCCGTAACTAGCCTTCACCCGACCCGTCATTGCCGGCGCCGCTTTGACCCGCTTACTTTATTTTAAGTCATTCATCGCTGACTCAGTTCCTCCACTTCACACTTCAGTTCTCAAATCCCCTCGAAATAAAACGAAATAAATTTTTTTTTTCTAATTTTTTTCCCAATTTGAGCGTCAGATTCTAATTCAATAGTTAGCTTCGTCTCCAAAATCCTCAGATTCTTTCATCATCTCTCTTTTTTGCTGCTCGGCTCGATCTTCGTCTAGGTCAATGAATATTGATTGGATTTAGGGTTTCGATTCCAAAACCCTAGGGAGAAGCGACGACGATGAAGCGGAATGGTGCTCAATACTTGATGCCCTTGTCGCTGCTGCTATTCCTCTTCATCGTTCATCTCGTCGATGCAATCGACGCTGGTGCAAATGTAAGTTTGTAGTTTTTGAGATCAGAGCTTTTATTTTTCAAAAAAGTTGTGTTCTTTGATTCATTTTGATTGTTTCTGATCTTCAATCCTGAGCGATCCTAAGGGAGAGACGATTTCAGCGAGCAAAAATGTGGCTGGTGCTGATTTGAGCGGTGCGAAGTTGGCGCCGCCTGATAGTGAGAAGGTTGCAGAAGAGAAGAAGGCGAAAGAGGAAACCAAGGGAGAGATCGAGAAGAAAGAGTCGAAAGAAACTGTAATTAAGGAGAAAGGTAAGAGCTTGGAGGAACCTGAATCTCAAGAGAGGAATCAAAAGGGGGGTTCGAATGGGGATTCTGATGTAGAGGTGTGTGATCCGTCGAACCGATGTGTCGATGAGAAGAGCAAGTTTGTTGCTTGCTTGAGAGTCCCTGGGAAAGGTGAGCAATGCTAAGGCTCATATAGCTTTTTTTATAATTACATATAATGTGGCAATTTAAGCCCCACTTATACCTTATTGGTGGTGAACTGACATATATTAATTTACATGCCATTGGTAGAATGTTTGTTTTGGTTGGTGCATGGGAATATTACTAATCAAGCGTGTCACATTAATCAATCAATAAGACCGATGTTATTGATCATGATTGAGATTGATATCCATGTAGATACCCAAAATTTCATCTCGAATAAAAGCGAAGCGTTACTTATTCGGTAGGATAGTTATTGTATTTATTTGGACTTATTTGCGTTCCTCAGTGTGTTTTTGGTTTTTATCACTTGAAGCGGCAAATTAAATAAAGATAGTTGACCATTCTACAAAGTTTAGTTAGTGACCAGGGTAATCGGAAGTACCTGAACATTTTACCTCAAACACTTTAAACCAATGCTCCTCCTTGTATCTGTATACAGGCAGACAGGACTTTTGCGAACTCTTTACTGTCGATCCATGATCACCATAATTGTGAATATAGGAAAGGCAACCATCATATTTAATATACTTGTTTCTTCCTGTGGTAATACTTACTGCAAATCCGTTCTCTTTTCTTACCAGATTCACTAGATCTCTCACTTATGATTCAAAATAAAGGAAAAGAATCCTTGGATATTATTATTGTAGCCCCTGATTTTGTCAATTTAGAACAGAGTACAGTGCAGCTTAAAGCAAAGGAAGACAAGGAGGTATATCCTTAATTTCTCTTCTGCTGATTCTCATAAATTATTTTCAATTTGAAGCCTTGCAAAATAACTTTTTTATGTTTTATTGTCACTAATCTTCCGCCCAGAATTTTATGGCTGTTAGTTTATCACATTGATGCCAATTATCACATTTTTGGTCTATTTTTATGAAAGATCTTTTTTCCCCTTATTCGGTAATTTCGTGTAGATGTTCTTGGATAATTTGAAAGTGTGAGCATGCCTTAGAATGGTAATGAACAAATGAGTTATGACTTAGGAGGCAATTTAAAGATTACTTATGTATGAGGGTAAGAGGATAACTTCAGGCCAGTTACCTGTGATCATCTGAATCCTAAACCAGTAAGCTATCTGAGTATCCTAACTTCGCACTAACTCAATAAGCTTTAGTTATGTCCTTAATTGTCCATTTTTATTTCCTTCAATATTGTATGATGTCCACATTGTACAATCACTTTATTTCATAGGATCAGGTATGATGGTCCACATTGGATGGTCAATTATTTCAACAGATAAGTTTGAAACCAACATATCAAATCCAGGCTTGGTAAGCTTCTAGGATCAAGTTAATGCCTGTATTATCTTCACTGAATGTCAAGATCAAATCTTGCTGAGAAGGAAGTTAGGAGGGGCTTGTGTCTGCATTTCCAGTTCCTGCCTTATTTTAGGATTTCCTCAACATCCTTTACATGAAAGTGGCATAGAAAACCCACCCCACCAATGCCTTTTTTTTTTTTTTTGGAGAAAAAAGGATCAGGAGCTCAAGAGAACAACACCCCGCCCCCCCCCAAAAAAAAAAAAAAAAAAAAAGAAAAAAGGCCATGTGCCTACACTGCTCCATTATTGGTTGTGTACACATTAGAAGCTATCCCCCCTACTCCAGAAAAATAGCTTCATATTACATCAAGTTCCAAAAGCCAAAATGACGTTCCTTGAAATCTCTCTTAAAAACCATAAAAAGGCAACTAAGATGCCCAAATTTCCAACCTGATACTAGCAGCTACAGATAATATTTACCACAAAATATTTTTGCTACTTATCATCCCTGGGGTCATGCTATCTCCATGTCACCATCATCAGCAGCTTCAGTTCCTCCTCCTGCATCAGAATTTCTCCCTCTGCATCTTATATAGCACCTGAAACGAGCTGAAGCATTTCCTAGCCAAAAAGATGTGAAATAAGTAACTTTTCTCCAAATTTCAAAAGCATGCATATCCTTGTGATGAAAAGTTCTCCTATTTCTTTCATGCCAGCTGTTCTCTTCATTACGCTTGTGTTTGTTGTGAATTCAAAACAAGTTTACATATACGTTACATTGCTGCAATGCATGTCATGGTGTAGATGTATGTATTAGATGTCATATGTATGGTGTGCATGAGTGTATGTCTACCTTCCTGATATGCATGAGGTTGAGCATATTGGAGTCCTGTCTATGTGGATGCTAGCCATTGGCATGTGCATGTTATGCAACTTGCCAATGCATGAGATTGAGCATCAAAACAACCACCGTTAGATGACAGATATCTGCACATACTCATGCGCATGTCAATGCATGAGGTTGAGCATCAAAACAACTATTATTTACATGAAAATTTCTGCAATTGGAGTTCTTGTCTTGTGCGTGGACACTATGCAGTGTCAAGTGCATGTATATCAACTCATTGCATGTGCATGTGGAATAAGAAAAAATGAATCATGAGTATAAGCATGCATTCAGTTGGTTGCAAATATGTACATTGTTGGTGCCTTATAAAAGTTTGCATGGATTGTTCAACTGGATGCACGTGCTGTGGTATCAGTGATGTGTAACCCCTAGTAACTTTATCGTCATAATCATTTTGATATGTAGTTTGGAATTCTGATTTTAAAACAGAACGTGTCATATTCTGACCAGTTCTGAATATCACTATGTACTCTGCAATCCAGGTAAAAGTTTCGGTTAAAGATGGTGGAAACGACACTACAATACTCCTAAAAGCAGGAGAGGGCAGTTGCAGTCTCAACTTTCAAAACCCAATCTCCGACCCCATCAAAAACACCGAAACTTCTTCTCTTCCAGGATTCTTCAGCCATCTATCTATACGCTCCTCATTCATTCTCATCAGCCTTGGCGCGTCATTGGTCATAGTTTTATCTTGGTGTTTTATCAAATTCCGGAGGATGAAAAGCCAAGAAAGCAGTCAAAAATATCAACAGATTGATGCAGGACTCCCTATTTCAACCGGCGGGAAGAAGGATATCAGTGAAGGAGACGGTTGGGATAATAGTTGGGGAGATGATTGGGACGATGAAGAGGCGCCCATGACTCCTTCAAAGCCAGTTTTGACTCCGTCGTCTAAAGGTCTTGCATCGAGGAAATTTAACAAGGATTCTTGGAAGGATTAGGTTACCTGTTTTTTTATTCTTGAAGAAAGATGAATGATTTAATTCTCTTTTATTTGCTGTATTTTGGTAAATTAACTGTGTCTAGTCTCCCTTAGTCCCTTCTAGGGGAAAAATAGGAATACAAATATCAGTTGGCTTTTAAGAAAGCATCCCACTTATGTAATGGTCTTAACGTAAGAAATCGAGAGGGTGGTTGTTAGGTTGTTGCAGTATGAATTAGCTGCTTTCTTGGTAATTTTTCAGCATGGAGCGTGCTTCCCCCACCCCCCAATTGCCTAGGGTTACTGTTACTGTTTATACTTAAAATATCATTTATAGAAGTGATCACATTTTTATCTAAACACTACAATTTGAAAAGTTACGTTTGTGTTTCAAGTGATGCGTATAAATAAGGCTGCATCTATTCTTTTTCAGTGATTCAACGAGTCAGGTGAGTGACATAAGAATTGCTGCAGCCTAGTAATACATAACACAAATCACAACCTGCACCAGACTGCCATTGGCACGCCATGGCACCATTAAAAGATCCGTACTCCGAGAAGAAGGATAGCAAATTTTAATTTGCTCTTACTCCAATGTTCGAAAAGGGTGAATTATATTACATACTTCAAATGAAAAGCAAGATAACTATGTACACTTAACACCATTCAACCAATGGCCACAAAGCAAGCTTTGAACAAGCGAAAATGGCCTGAGGGCTTACTGCCCCATCTCTCTGCTTACTCTTTTGAGCTCAACTACAACTACACTAATATTGTCTCTGCTCCCTCGAGACATGGCAAGCTCTGCTAGAAATGCAGCTGCTTCTGCTGCTGAGCTCCCACCGATTGCTTGTGGGAAGATCTTGGCTGCTCGTCCGCTGAGGCACCGCCTTGTGATTTTGCAAGCCACTTCGTTTGAAATGACATCCCACAGACCGTCGCTTGCTAGAATGAGGAACTCGTCGTCCTCTGTTCGGTTGGTCACTGCAACCTCTGGTTCTGAGGTGACATAGGGTTTGAGGTAGTAGTCCCCTGCACAGAAAATCACTACATTCAGCAAGGGCTTTTGCAAAAGATAATGAGTAATATTCAGCAAGGGTATACCTAGAAAGTCACTATGTTCAGCAAGGGCTTTTGCAAAAGATAATGAGTAATATTCAGAAAGGGTATACCCAGCATCTGAAGTTTAGTTTAGACCCAACTTTTATGTTCCTCCGATACAAGTAAATTTGCTCTTAAATCAATAGTCCATTCTGGTGAAACCGTTTTAAGGCAACATTGCATAACAGAAAAAGTATAATCGTATAATCAGGCAACATCGTATCACTTTCAGTCATAGTTTCACATAAGACTACGAGTATTACCGAATGACTATGATTGTATAATCAGGCAATCTAGCATCACGTTCAATCATAGTTGCACATAAGACTATGAGATTAAAAGTATTACCAAATGAATGTTTACTATATCTATGTTTGGTTCAAAAGTCGCTGCTGTGGAATTCATTATAACTTTGTTCGATTACAACAAATTCGAAACAAACACGAAAAATCGTGCTATCAATTTTTCGTTTTCGGTTGGGGGAACTTTGCCTGTGCCGGGAAAGCGCTTTGGGTTCCGTGACGCGCCGATTCACAGATCGTGAAGAGGGGGAGGGGCTTATATGATTCTAACTTCGTTAATCGAAGTAGAAATTAAATACGATATCTTAATGACAGTAAGATAGTTCGTTCTTTCTTAAAAATCAAGTCGAGAGCTTAATTTCAAGCGTTGCAAGAAAAGAACTCAAATCTCTGCTCTCTCTGCTGCTGGAATGCCTAACAAATGCTGCGATCCTCGTCAGAAGTGACGCCTAGGGGGGTATTATAGTCTTAAGGGTCAATAACTGGGCAAAAAGCTTAACATCGAAGAAGTCAGTAACGGCGAGACAGTGTGTACGTGCCTCGCTGGGCGAGACACGCGTTTGCTGTCTCGCTGGGCGAAGACAATCGCGTTTGCTGGTCTCAACCCAGCGAGACAGTAAATTTGAGCTGTCTCGCTGCAAGGCGGAGAGCAGTAAAGCTCGGAAAATGGTTTTTTTTTTGTTTTTTTTTTTGTTCCGGAAGGAGTTTCTGCAGCTGTAACTGTTCTCGTAGTCAAGCGTTTCAAAACTCCGGTATTTTGGCAGTTATCGCACGTGATTTTTCGCCCATGGATGTTTCCGACGTCGCCTATGGTAGTTTAAATGGACACGTGTAGGGCAGTTAGCAAATGTAGTTTTGACTAATTTCAACACTGGTCTGCGCTGGCGAGACAGCCAAAGACTGTCTCGGCTGGCGAGACAGTTCATACTTGTTTTGATTTTTTCCAAAAACAGTATGAAATCCTTTCTTGTGAATTTTTGAGTGATGCTTCTCTATGCTTGGGGATATCTATTAGCAATTTTTGACGCCTACCAGATCCGCCCTCGCAAAGTAGTCCACGAGCTCATTCTTTTATAGAAAGGAGGCATGGGATACTTTGGATAAGATAGATTTATATTAACGAATCGCATTCATGCTATGGCTGAATAGATCGTGATGAAAGTCGCTTTGTAAATGGCTTCAATGTTTAAACCATCGTTTTGCTGTTTAGTCTATCGCCAGTTCATGCGTAAATAGCTAACATCTCCCGGCCGTCGCGTTATGCGCTTGACGCGTTGTCGGAGATCTTGATTGAAGTTGATACTGCATCGTTGTAGAATTCGGCATTTACGACCATTGAATTGGTATATCCAATTTGAGATTCCTCAGGTTATCTTACAGAATATTCAAAATTAAATATCTCCAGAAACTTCCTGTTGAGGGTGAGAATCAGTTTAAGATCGTGTACCCATTGGAGTATTCGCATCTGGTTTCGCATAGTGCAAAACAGAAAAGTTTACGTGTGCATCGCCATCGGCGAGACAAGAGTTTTTCTGTCTCGCGCTGGGGTCGAGACAGTGTTTCTGTCTGCGCTCGCGAGACAGTGTTTCGTGTCTCTGGCTCAGCGAGACAGAGTTTCCTGTGCTCGCCGCGCTTGCTATATAAAAGTCCGGGCTTAAGGGTTTTAGGAGTTTTTACAAGCGTCGATTTTTTGCGATTTGCAGGGCGATTTTGGGGATTTTTCGAGCAGATTTCGGACGAACAGTTCTTCCCCTGCTTCTTCATCTCTTCGTTTCTGACTTGGGATGGTGGCTTCGATTTGAAGAAGATTTCATTTGGATTTGAAAGGTCTGTTTTCCCTCTTTTCTCAAAATCTTGACTTTCGGCAACTTGTGACTGTGCATGCATTATTTCTGAGATAAGCCTTGATATTTTTGTTCAATTTTACGTTCAAAAACTAACTGTTTCGCATCGGCTTTTCACTTGTAAGACTCGCATATTCATTATGTCGCACGTAGAGCTCAGGAGAAGGGAATCCGACCGGACTGTTCAGAGCACGCGAGGAGGCTGCGCCTGCTGGCACCCCTACGTGAGGTATAACGCTTTTTCATCCTTTTAACGAGTTTAAATACTGTATTTCCGTAATTCATATATAATGCACCTGTATTTGCTTCAGATCCTCGTTTTTGTATCCTTTGAGGCAACTGAGAAGAGGCCGGTATCACTCCTTTGAGGGGATCGACGCTAATAAGTGTTTGTTTTGGCTTGAAAAACACACTTCATATACACGAGGGGGGCGATTTTACATCATCCCATATGTATTGAAAGGTTTGGTATGCCGTTATAATGACCCGGCATTACCTCGCTTTATACATATGATGGAAGAAAATCGTCACGACCTGTATATGAGATATACGACTATATCTTATAGAATGAGATATACCGTTTTTTCTCAGAAAATTCATAGATGACACTTAGCAACACCATTTTATGTGTATGCAGTCTCTTTTATGCAGTCCGATTCGCTTACTACGCACCATTCACTGCTTGATGTGATTACTGGCCGGAGTAGCGTGACCCACTCTTATTACGAAAGGGGGGCGGATCCGCTTAATTGAAATTCTCTCCCCAGTTTAAATCTGAATTATAACCGGAAGTGATAGTGAATTAATCGCAGCGAGGTAAGTTGTCGTGTTCTAACGACGATTAATCAGCAGATGCGCGCCTTGGATCTCGGAGCAAGATCGAATGCAAATGCATAAGGAAGCCAATTTCTTTTTGGTGACTCGGTAAAAGATCGCGAAGATTGCTTTCTGCCAGCCCGCCAATGGTTGCACCAGAGTGGATCTATCATTCTATATCTGGCCTTTATTCGCCTCGGGATTCATTCACTGTAATTGTTCAGGAAACCATCAGTTGAGCGGAGAGATGTCTGGAATTAAGCCGCGAAAAAGCCACGAGCACAATTCATTGTGGTTTTCATTGGGAAAGGAAGCAACTCCAGGTTCCAGTGAAAGAGACTCATGTGAGAAGGACTTCATGCCGGGTGTCTTAGGACAAGACAATATTCCTCAAGAACGAAAGATAGTGGGCAAGGGCCAACACTGGTGAAGAAGCGGTTAGGGCAGGCAGCAGGAAAAGATTTGGCCCAGAGAGACCTTCAAGGTGTTATGGATGGGTGCCATTATTCCGGGAACAAGATGGATGGTCGGACGCAGGATGACCCCAATATGTGTTGAAACGTTTGGGCCGAGAATTTAAGGCAGGATTAAGGGTTCGGATGTCCCGATTCGTGCCACCATGCATGCTTGCAGAGCAGTGTAAAGTCATTTCCTTTGTTTGTTCGGATCTACAAACCGCGGACACTAATACATTCTTTACCAAGAACTGGGGACTTGGATACCCACTGCATGAAATGATGCAAAGTGTCTGGCTTTGCCTGATGGGCGATGTCCCATATCAAGAGTTCTTTCCGACCAACCATCATTTCTGATTAAGATGAAAGATAGCTCGACTGCGCTAATGACACTCTAAATGGGAATTAGGACCTGTCCATATGCATATAGCCATGGCCAAGAGATGGATGGCCGAATGCCATAAGACCAGTCTGTCCCGCCTTTCTACAGGCTGTCTTGAGAATGGTGAGTGGGAGGGCCGAGAGATCCCGACGATATCAAGGCGTTCAGCTACAAGTCCCAAAAGTGACATGGGCATTACATCCCAAGCTTGCTTTCGCACAGTTCTGCAGCCGGTACGGCGAGTGTATTGATTGATGAGGAGAAGCCGAGGGAGTATAGGACCTTATGCTGGATATGGCTTGCTTTAATTGGCTAGTGAACATATAGGCCGGGTTACCTGAGCTTTCCGGGTGGGGAATCATGTGTTTTATAGAGACCGTATCTACCTGGCCGGATTCCGCGCCGCGCAATTAGGTTAATGACGACAACTTTATGTTGGGAACGACGCGCCAGAGCTTCGGGGGCTCATAGAGGTCTGGTGACGGTGGCTCGTGCATGGTTTTTTGTGGACCGTGACTGATGGCTGCACTGGAGCTAGGTTCAGTTCTGCTCAGGTAACTGACTGGCAGTTGAACGCTCACTTTTCCTGAGCTGCAAAGTGTTGCTAGGCAGCTAATAAGACTGTCCGTGGGTAGGAAATTTCCTATCGAAAGTTGGTGGGCCGAAGAAGCCTCTCAGATTGATTCTCGTGTATACCAGGACGGTGACTCAGATCAACAGAGGGCTCAGGGCAAAGACCCGCCGACTTGATAGCAGAAGGTCAAGGCTTTTAGTTCTGCTGGAAGAGGCCTCAAGGACGGAGAACCCTGAAGACTACGAGGGCAGATTTGGAGGCAAGGTTAGTCACCTATTTTTTTCTTTTATCTCTGCATTTCCAAGTTGCTATCCTGACACACTATTCTGATATTTCAGGGACAGGGCGACCATAGTGACGACGAATTCGCGCCTTATTACCCGGAGCAAGACGCTTGCGATTGCTGTACGTAGCTGATAGAGCGGAAAAGATTAGCCCACAACCGCATGCAAATTCACGAGCAATACTGAGAATGGACTTGGGCTTGGAATGAGGATCCTGTTAAGTGACGGAGGTAAACCGGTTCTTTTTTATTTTTTCCTATAAGATGTCATTTTC